GCCAGCGAAGAAACGAGGGCACTCTGGGAAAGGCGGTTTATTGATGGCTCGCGCAAAGCATCTCAGCGCTAAGACACTTAGGGTACCCCACCCGCTGTGATTTCTTCGCGACCACTGCAAGCCTTCAATGCGAACACAAATCAAACATACCCAAGGCACCCTGGCAAAAGTTGTGGTGTTTCTTGGCATGGGCTCCCACTGTAGTTTACCGCGGTGGCCTCTGGTTGCGCCAGTCCACAGCGGTAAACTGTGGACGCCGACGGGTAACGGCGCTTGGCTCTGTTTGGGCCCCAGTGCACCGCGGTAAACTGCGGGTCGCGACAACTTACCAGAGCCTGGCAGGAATGTGGAAGCGAGGGCTGGGAGCCGGAGCAGGAGGCAGGGTGGAGGAGACGGAGCAGGAGGGCGAGAAGGAGGAGGCGGGGCGTGGACCCGCAGCAGGCAACACTGTGCGCACAGAAAACGGCGGCCTGCGCTAGCGATGGGTGCAACGTGACCTGGCAAGGACGACGACGACGACGACGACAACAACAGCAACAACAACAACAACAACAACAACAACAACAACAACAAACACACCAACAACAACCACAACAACAACAACAACAACAACAACCACAACAAAAACAACAACAACAACAACAACAACAACAACAACAACAACAACAACAACAACAACAACAACGACGACGACGACGACGACGACGACGACGACGACGACGACCACGACGACGACGACGACGACGACGACGAGGGCGAGGACGAGGACGACGACGACGACGACGACGACGACGACGACGGCAACGACGACGACGACGACCGACGACGTCGCTGACGACGACGACGCCGCCGACGACGACGACGACGTCGATGAACGACGACGACGCCGACGACGACGGACAACGACGACGACGGACGACGACGCCGACGACAACGGCGGCGACGACGGCGACGACGACGGCGACGACGATGACGACGATGACGACGACGACGATGATGACGACCGACGACCGACGACCGACGACACACGACCGACGACCGACGACCGACGACCGACGACCGACGACGACTGACGACCGACGACCGACGACCGACGACAGCGACGCGGAGGATGAACGGGGGAGAGACAAGAGGGAGGCGACTCGCCGGCAAACCCCGCACGTGTGGAGCCTGCTGCATGGCGGCCGCCGTGTGCTGCGCCAGGGCAGCGCCGATGCCTCCAAACGCAGGGTGCGCCGCGTCTCCGAAGGGGCCAGGGGCGCCGCCAGGGGTCGCCGCGCCGGGGGCGCCGCCGGGAGCCTCTGCACCAGGAGCGCCGCCAGGGGCCGCTGCGAGGAGGCGGTGCTTTGTCTCAACGTGCAATTTTCGACAGCGCCCATCCCGCTGGGGTGCGCGGCCTGAGCCTCCTCTTCCTCTTCCTCCTCCCCCTCCTCCTCGTCTTCCTCCTCCTCTTCCGCCTCCTCCCTCCTCGACCTTGTCAGTGGTCCCATTCCCATTCCCATTTCCATGCCCATGCACATTCCCATTCCCGTTCCCATTCCCACTCCCAGTCATATTCCTATTCCCATTCCCATTCCCATTCCCATTCCCATTCCTCCTCCTCCTCCTCCTGCTCCTCATCCTCTTCCTCCTCCTCCTCCTCCTCCTCCTCCTCCTCCTCCTCCTTCTCCTATTTTTTCTCGTGCTCCTCCTCCACCTGCTCATCTCCTCCTCCACCCCATGTTCTTCTACGTAGTTCTCCTCGTCTGGCCACCAGACGTGTCGGCGGGGCGGGCTGGGCATTCTGCCTGAAACGTCCTCTCCGCGTATGTCCCAGAAGATTGTTGTGTCCAACAGTTGCTCGAATGGAAGATCGTCGTCGTCGTCAAATGTGGCTCTCGCCTCAGCGTCGCGCGTCTTCGTCTTGAAAGCTTCCAACAGGCATACAGACGGACGGCGACTCATCTCAAGATGTGGGGCTGATCTTAGCGCCGCGCACATTGGCCTTCAAAGATTGCGCCATGTACAAAGATGGAGGGCGGTTTTCTTAAAATGTTCGCCAGGGTGGACCCAAAACAGAGCGCCTGTAGCCATAAATGTTGTGCAGCCTATGTGGAGCAATACATGTGTTGAGATCTATATATATGTGTACACATAGATATGGTGTTCCACCTATGTTGCGCAATATAGATTCAGCCATATATGTTGAGCTGTTAAAAAGATGCGGTATGTGAGGTCAATATCGGGCGCGCAATCGATGTGTAGCCATACAGCCGGTGCACTTTATGTGGTGTAATCTACGTTGTGCTATATATATATGGTCGGCAGTATATGTGATGCACTCGGTGTGGTCAAACACATGTTGTGCGATGTAAGTACGTGGGACAATATATGTTGTGCAATGCATGTGATGCAACATATGCTATGACATATGTATGGTGTGCAACGTGTGTTGTGCATTCTACGTGGTGCAACACATGGTGTGCAACATGTGTGGAGCAATAGATGTGGTGAAATATAGGCTGTGTAATCTATGGCGTGCAATATACGTGGTGCGATCGATGAGGGGAAACATATGTTGTGCAATGTTTGTGGGGGGAAATGTATGTTGTGTAAGTTACGTAGTGCGATCTATGATGTTCAAGACATGGGGTGCAGCACATGTTGTGCAATCTTTGTGGTGCACCAGCGAGTGGCATTACATGTTGTGCGGCCTATGTGGTGCGGCATCTGCGTGTTGCAATCCATGTGGGGAAATAGATGTTGTGCAATATCTGTGGGGCCACGACGGGGCGGCGACGGCGGCAACAAGCGCGGCAACTGACGGAGAGCCCAGACGACGGGCGGCGGCGAGGCGGCGACGGGGCGGCAACGAGCGCGGCGACCGGCAGGCAGGCCCGGACGACGGGCGGCGACGACGGGGCGGCGACGACGGGGCGACGAGGCGGCGACGGGGCGTCGACGGCGGCCACGTAGCCACCAGACCGAAGACGCGGCCCAGGCGACGGGCGGCAACGAGTCGGCGACGAGGCGGCGACGGCGGCCACATAGCCGCCAGACCAAAGACACGGCCCAGTTCCTTAGAACAGGAGTAAGAACCCCTAAGTGCAACCACTGTTGGGGGAAGGTACCTTTGGCTGGATACGTTCACGATCCGTGTGAGCAGAAAACAACACGTGAGCAACAAGTACATGGATGGAGGTCGGATCATGTTCAATTCGGGGCTCTCGCTTGAGACGGTCTCTGGGCTTATCACCAGGCGTTACACACTGGAGAACATTTCCACGGATGTACGGCGGTTCTTTTTCAAAGCTGTGCTTTCACAGGACACTTGCGTGCATTGTGTGATCATACCTCGACGACATGCTTACAGCTAGAAGCAGGGATGGCAGCTCATGTTCAAAAAGGGACTCTCCCTTGATTTGAAAGGCCGTGGGGGGTTCGTCTTACAAGGGGCATGTCCTGGAGTGAAAAGAAAGTCCTGCAGGAGCAATTGAGGAGGGGATTTGAGACGGAAGAGTGTTTTGCAGCATCGCTGAAACATCTTGGGCTACTCTGGTCCTCCTGCTCCTCCTCCTCCTCCTCCTCGCCCCCTCCTCCTCCTGCGCCGCACATTTTCATTAAGAACAAACTCTCCCCTGTCGCACCACCAGACGTGTCGCTAAGGCGAGCCAGGCGTTTCGCCTGAGACTCCCGTGCACTTGATGGGAGCGAAAGTTTCAACATCCAGCCCGTGATGAGCACTTCACACACGCAGACATGGACGAAGGCGGCTCGTTTTCACAGTGGAGCTCTCGCCCTGGCGCCGCGCACGCCCGTCTAAAGCACAAAACCACCTACACGGATGGAGGGCGATTCCTTTCCAAAATGGGGATCCCGCTCAACACTTTCTCGAGTTCTGTGGTCCCCGAAATTCCAGTCTGCTGCGACAGCTACACGGATTGGACGGCGGCTCCTTCTTGAAATGTGGCCCTCGCTTCAGATTCCCACAAATGCTACGACGAGAGATTTGGCATTGTACGGCGCTTTCTCGGATGGAACGCACATGCTTGTCGAAACTGAACTCTCCCTGGAGACCTCCTTGACCGTGATGGTCTGACCTCTTTGGATGTTTGGCTAGAAGAATTGGAGGTTGATATTCTTACAACCTGAGGAATCCACGACTCTGGTCATGAATTTGAGTCCAACTTTGTTCTGAAACGCGTGCTACACTCTCCCCCCTCTGGACTGCCACCACCACTGCTACCTCCTGCCCTCCCTCCTCCTCCTCCGCCTCTTCCCCCCCCCCCCGCGCACGCAATTTCTCATGTGAAGAAGCAGTCGACTAGACTAGAAGTTGGCTCCCCCTCTAGGGCCATGGACACCTGAAAACACGTGCCCCGCGCGTACGCGCCAGGCGCATGTTGGATCCCCCCCCCTCCGCGCACGTATTTCTACGTGCGAAGAACCCGCCGCCTAGAAGTTGGGTCCCTCCCTGGGGGACTTTTTTTTTGCATCACCGTTGTAGCGCTCGCGCAAGACAAAACCGTTACCCAGGCTGCGCGCGACAAACATGCCAACGTCGCAAGGCACGCGCAAGACAAAAAGGTTACCCCTGCAAGGTTGCGCGAGAAGGAGCGGACACAGCAGAATGGGTCCCTCCCTGGGGGCCGTGGACACGTGAAAAGACATGCCCCGCGCCCGCGCGCCGGGTACCTGTTGGGCCCCCCACCTCCGCGCACGCCGAGGCACGCGCGGAGGCTCCGCCGACTGAACCTAAGGCCCCCTCTCTGGGGGCCCTGGGCACGTGAAACCGCGTGCCCCGCGCTTACACCCTGCGAAATGCTTAAGAAATCATGGGTTAAGAAATTCATAGCCTGAGAACTTAAATAAAAACCAAAACATTTCTATTAAAATCTTAAGATTTACATTGAAACGTTAAGAATAATCGAGACTCTGGCCGAAAACGTAAGTTTTCTTAAGCATCGCCTAAGGTGTACGCGCCAGGCGCATGTTGGGTCCCCCACCTCCGCGCACGCACTTTCACCTGCCAGGCCTCCGCCGACTAGAGCCCCCCTGGGGGCCGCAGACACCGAACGCGTGCCCGGCGCGCACGCGCCAGGCGCATGTTGGGCCCCCCCCTCCGCGCACGCACTTCTACGTGTTATTGGCCATCGCTCGGACGTCCATTCCCTGGGCTTTTTTCGGTTTCGTGCGTGGTTGTTTCGACAAATGATGAAGGATGCTCCTCGATGGTCCTCGCCGAAAGAAAAATGCACACGTCCGAGCGCTGCCGAGGTAAAGACTCCGCACCACCCTGGGGGTCGCGGACACACGAAAACACCTGCCCCGCGCGCACGCGCCAGGCGCACGCTGCAGCCCCCCCCCCCTCCACACACGTGTGAAGAGCCCCGCCGACTAGAAGATCGGTGCGGTCCCTTCCTGGGGGACGTGGACACTTGAAGGCACTCGTCCCGCGCGCACGCGCCAGGCGCATGTTGGGTACTCCAGATTTCGTAATAAAGGGAGGGGGGTCTCACTTCGGGGGGGGGTCTCTTCCAGGCTATCTTGGAGGGCCTGGGGGGTCTGGGGACGATGTTTTGGAGGGTTCTCCCACGGGGGAGGTCTGAAATGGCTTGTTTTGGAGGGTCCAGACCCCCTCCCTTCTATTACGAAATCTGGAGTACCCCCCCTCCGCACGCGCATCTCTATGTACAAAGACTCTGGCACGGCCAAGTTGGGTCCCTCGCCTGCGGCCCCGTCGTGGCCAGAAGGACGTGAGAGCACTTGCCGAGCGAATGCGTGCCGAGACTCACGTTCGAGACAGCCCCCCTCCGCACACGTCTTTCTACGTGTCCACTTCCGGCGCCTGCTGCTCGACATCCTTCTGGTGGAGGGCCACTGGCCAGCAAGCTGAAAGAGAGCCCTGGGCTGGAGCCCTCACCGGGAAAGAGGGATCTCGCCTGCATGGGAAGCCCACGAGACGTTCGTCTGTCAGGGGGGATCGCTGTCAGCAGTTGAACCACTTACTTGCAAGGGTTTGTTTGGCGCGGAACTGTGACGGGAAAGTGTACTGAATCATCGCTGATGCAAATTGAGTTTGCTCTGGTCCTCCTCCTCCTCGTTTTCCTCCTTCTCCTCCGCCCTTCTCGTCATCCTTCTTCTTCTCCCCTCCCCTCTGCCTTGCAGCATTTTACAGGCACACCCCTGGCAACGATCCCAGTCTGGGATCTTTTCGCTGACACACTGTATCCTGTATCCTATGCCTCACTACTCCCAAGGCAGGCCGGGCGATTCGCCTGATACAATACAACAGCTATACAGACGGAGGGCGCATGGCTTTCACAATGTGGATATTGCCTTCAGGCCGCGCGCACTCGTCGTAAAAGTCTTTCTCGACACTTACACGCAAGGAATGTGGCTACTTTCACAATGGGGATCCTGCTTGGGTGTATTTCACGCTTTACGAACCATAACTCTACACCTATGCAACAGTCGCACGTGCAGCGCGACTCCCTTTCAAAACGGGATTACCCCGTGAGACCTCATCAGGTTTGAGATCAGAAATGCAAAATACTACAGCAAATAAGCTGATGGATGGCATCTCCTTTTCAAAACGGGGCTGTCTGGAGTCTCCACTGGACATTATGGTCCTACCTCCTGGCATTACGGTGCTTACCGGGTAGCGGCGGTGACTGCTGCAAAAAGCGGATGGGATGTCGCCCCTGGAGCTCTGGGCGCACTGGAGCTCTGGGCGCACTCGGAACGCTGATATCCTGTCGCGCCGAACTGTGGCAGGCAAGAACCAGCGGCGCGAAACGCTTGGCAAAAGATCCAGACTGCATGATAGCTAGAAAGGTGGAGGCGGCTCTTTTTTTAGCGGGGCTCTCACTTGAACAGCAGGCACTAAGAAGCGTTCGCATCTCAGGGGGAGAAAACTTCCCTCACTGGGAACGAGTGCTTGTAGGGACTCACAATGAGTTGTACTTGGAACATCGTTGGTGCATCCTGGCTTTGTTACAGCCCGTCTCCTCATCATCATTGTCATCCTCCTCGTCCTTCCCCTTCAGCATCCCACTGCCGTGTAAACAACTCATCCCTGTGCATCACCAGACGTGTCGCTCGGGTGGGCCAGGCGTTTCGCCTGAGACTTCCTCACCGTTTACGGCCTTGAAGCTTGAAAGCTCCCATCTCGCACAGGGATGGCGGGCGCAGCATGTTCAAACCTTGGCGCCGCGCACACTCGACTGCAACAATCCAACAACTACACAGATGGAGGGCAAATCGTTTGCGAAATTGGCTCTCGCCAAAACCCCGCGCACATGCGCTGCTTAATCAAACAAAACCCAAGCACGGTTGGACGGCGAATCGTTTTCGAAATGGGGCTCTCGCCTTGGCGCCATAAAACAACCGCCTCGAAAGCTGCCAACCCTTGAACGGATGGAGGGCTGCGCCCCTTCAAAGTGGGCATCCCGCCTGAGACCTCCTCCAAAATAACACCACGCCACCACTATGAACATGTGCAACCGTTGATTGCACGGA